CCCCAAAACCCCAAAACCCCAAAACCCCAAAACCCCGAGTGGTATTTCTAAACAGAAATAAAAATGCCCCAAATCCTTTTTATGCTTCTCCGAACATACTTCTGCTTCATCCTATTCTATCAGCCTTTGTGCGTACCTTCATCTTCTGATTTCCCTAACTTCATTTTATAAAGGCTTGATGAGTTCTGTTTCTCAGGAGGTCTCCTAAGGATTAGAGGAAGGCTTACTCATCGTCATGGCTTGTACTGTCCCTGCTGTTCTTTGAGGCAAGGAATTCGTAATCGGGTGTTGGAGGCAGGATTGTGTCCTATTTTGGTAAGTAGGGAGATACTCCGTGTTTTATGGTAGAGGTGTCGGTTTTAGGTGGATTTTTGGGTTCATCGAAGGGTGTTATGTTTATCTTATATGAGTCAACGTCGTCTCTCCTATGTCGAGAGAAGTTTTTCTTTTTATCATTAATTTTTTTCACTTCGCCGTTTTTGTTTTTTCTTTGTATTTTCGTAACTTCTCTTTTAAAGTTAAATTATCTCGTTTATTTTAAAAGCAATTTGGAAAATGAAGTAGCTTACTTTGAGTTCAATACTGTTGAAGGTTCTTACAGACCCATCTGTATTGCTATACCGCTTATTCACTAGGTCTGTGGTTTTGGCCCAATTCCCTTTATGCTTTTGAAGTATGAAATCAATAATAACTTGAGGCACAGGTTTAAATTTTGTCGTTTCCTAATCAGAAAGAAATTACGCTTTTCTTACTTTCCTTCCTAATTTCTCCCGAAACATCGTCCCCGAAGTTTTCTAAAAATTCAAACCCTACCACTACCTTTACTCTCTTCTTCAGTTTCATCTCTTGTGGTGAAGGCTCTCTCTCATCCTTATTACACCCTAACTCACATAATCCACTTCTACTTACCTCTGCATGAGAAAAAGAGCTTATTTATATGAATGCACTCATAGCGGTTGTATTTGTTCTGTTGAAACATTGACTGGGGATCACTCTAATAGAAGAAAGTAGTTTTATGCTGGGAGGGGTCTTGGAGGGGAATAGAAGGGGCTGGGCCCTTGAGATTGGGTGTAATTTAGGGTTTTAGAGGGAGTGAAATTAGTGCTTACTCTGAATGATCATCAAAACTTTCCTCATCGGTAGACTCTTTGAGGCTAGGAGAATAAGATTTTAGTTTCTTTTTTCTAAAATTATATAAAACTATACTCTGATTTGTGCCTATTTTTCTTAATGTGCATTGAATTTTTACGGGAGCTCTTTTTACTCTTCCTTGATCTACTTTTCTTTGACTTATGCTCCTCCATCCTAAATTATATTATAATTATAATTTGGGGTTTTGGGGTTTTGGGGTTTTGGGGTTTTGGGGTTTTGGGGTTTTGGGG